AGTGCTTGAAATATTTGCTAAAATTGACTGGGAATACCTAGAGATTTCATCGTAGAATGGCGTAGTTATATTCATTTGCTCTTTGACTAAAATGTTTAGCTGTATTATTGCTAAACATGCCGTTTTTGAGAATTTGGTTTGCAACTAGGTTTCAACCATAGTGGAAAGTAAGGCACTTAAGCGGGAGATCTCCTGCGTAAGGAACAAGGTAAAAAACTGTATTGCGGAAATATTTTGCGGAAGAAAAACGTAAAATAAAACTTGCGGAAATTTTTTGCGGAAGAAAACATAAAATGAAACTTGTGGATTTGCGCCCATTTTTCTGACCATCAGAATTCTGTCAAATCGTCCCCAAAGTCCAGGAAATGGCATTTCAGAGACTCTAAATTTAAAAATTTCCTCGGGCCTTCGGCCCTCGCTTTCCACCCCCCGGCAATCAAAAAGAGCTTCCTACGACACTGATTTATATGATAAAATTCAGAAAGGCATAACACGGGGAATACTCTGCTTTTTGTTCGAAATACTTCGTTTTTTGTGTGTTTATGTTGTTTTTAATAAAAAGTTTCTGTTGAGCATGCGTAGGTCTAAAACGTTACCCCTGGGGTCGAGGCAAATCAACGCAAACTGTTTACAGATATGCGATTTCGGAAGTAATCCGAAGTATGGCAAACTATCCGAAAAGGCTTTAACATATTTTATAATATGAATTTTGAGTGGAAAAAAACTTCTTAAATCAGTTGAATCTCTAGGATAAAGTCCGCGGAAACCTTCGACATGCATGGTCACAGGTTTTGCGGAAATCTCCAGTGGCGGAATGAGCCGGAATTGCGGAAATATCCTGCGGAAGAAAACACGTACTTTCCACTGTGGGGTTTCAACATCCAATCACGCCATCAGCCCATTGAAAACATTAGGTCACGCCGTCACGTCAGCTAGTTTCCTATCTAGTTATTTTATTATCCATGGTGAAAGAGAGCACTTCTCAGCTCTCTGCCATTTAAACCATCTCATTGTTGATGAGAGTGTTTGAGAGAGTTACGGTTCTCACAGACCTTCCAACTCTTTATAATACGCATATAGCGCATTTGGCGTCTATCTCACACGCATAACTATAAATTTTCCTCACTCTATTCCATAAAAAAGTCTTGCTTAGATGTTTCTTTCAATGAATGGCTACAAGATGATGTATTTCTAGACTATTTTGCATTTACCAGAATAACAGAAGATAAAATATGCTAAACTTTTAACATTTAATATTTTCAATCACAATTTGTCATTTTATGATTGAAGTGACTGTTTGATTTCACTCATTTAAATAGAATTATAAATTGTGGAAATTGTATTTTTGTGGCTTGATATCTAAACTTAAAAAACTCATTAATAATTCACGAAGAAAATACAAAAGAAATGAATGTTTAATCAATGTTTGTAAATCGGATACAGATTTGTCCTGATTTACATAAACTTCAGTTTTGATTTTCTCGGCTTAGACAGTGTTTATTTTTAAAATTACTTCGCCAATCAATTCACATCGGTCGTTTTTTAAGCACGATAAAACATTCGCATTCGATCTTTGTCTGATATACAAACTCTCGCCTTCGGCTCGAGTTTTTATGTCAGGTAAAGATCGGCTGCCCATGTTTTATCTAGTACATATTGGGATGGGAAGGGGGTGTGCCATAGGTATAAATGTGCATGTCATATTCTTCCTCATTTTTGATTCGCATATAGTTGGAAGGTCTAAGTTCCCATCAACCCTCGTCTGACCGTGGCTTTACAGTAATAGGTTTATCAAGCTGCTAACAAAATAACCACAACAACTAGAGTTCATGTCATCATAAATTATTTGTTGGTCTTAATGTCCAACTTTTTAAAATATGTAGAAATGGGGTAGACATTCTCAGAGTCGGGAGTGGGACCAGTAAAACACACGTTTTCGTCAAGCTGCAACTTATGATTCTTAACATAGACACGCATGTGGAGAGATAGTGTACCAAACCACGTGTACTTTTCACCAGGCTTGATCAACTCGTAAGCTAAATTCGTATCTGTTTTTGTCTCCTCTGGTTTGTTCATACCAAAACGTCGAAGGTTTTCAAGTGGATCTTTTACAACAGAAGCTACCTTCACCGCATTAGTATTTACTGTACTGCCACTGGCGGCACCCATTGTAGCTACAAATAACAGGATATCAACAGCAAAAACCAAAGACTGCCAGTTTATTCCATGTGTTATCCATACATCGTATTCAGTATCGTTGAGGATTGAACATTTGGAACCCATTGTTTCAGTATTCTAGATAGAGAAAATATGATTATCTTAGATGTTGTAGCCACAAAAAGGTTCTGCATGACCACCATATGACCTCCTTTTGTTGCTGGAAATCTTAGTTCTTTCAATGTTTTCCCTAAAATTGTTGGCAGGGGGTGGTTGCCTGCCCCCCCCCCCAGTGTCTGCCAGGGGCTTGTTTTGACACCCAAAGTCAAGTTTTATTAGCCAGCATGTATTGCATGGTTCAATTCTTCCTGTTAATACCCCCCCCCCAGGCAACGATTTTTTACCTCCTTGTATGTGCGCGCGAAAATGTCAGTTAAAAGTTGATGAAATTGTGGTTAGAGCTCGACAACTGGGCTCTGTTAGAGCGCTGCATCGGAATCGCTGGGTCACTGTGTTCGATTTCTGCCAGGGACCTAGTAACCATAACAACAATCCTAGCACTAAAGCGAACTCTGAGTTTAAATTTGGAACACATACACCGTTGTAAATTCCCTGCATATCAATTTCAGACGCCAGTCATGATAATGACTGGAAGATGGACGAGAGGGAGTTTACAAGATAGTTCTAAATTTAAACTCAGACTTCGCTTTAGTGTTAGGTTAGTGTAGGGTTAGGATTACGCAGTGACGTAGCCAGGATTTCTATTCAAGGGCGCTCGAAAAAATTCCCGGAGGGGTCCAAGCCATTGACCCTGGCGCTAGTTCAAATAAAGTTTGTTTATTATGTGAAAATGTATTTGGACTCCCACACTGCCATGCACATGGGGGGGTCGGGGGTATGGTCCCCCGGAAAAGTTATTCGATTCTAGAGTAGGTATTCGGTAAAGTGCCATTTTCAGCATTTTGGGGCCCATTTTAATGCGTTTTGGTGATTTCAAATAACAATTTAACACATAACTACTCTACTTAATCATAAACAAAACATGGGAAGTATGGAGGATAGAAGAATTCCACAGAAGTGCGACCTCTGTATGTACTTACTCTGGTCCCCCTAGACTTTGTCTAATACCTCCCCCCCAAACTAAACCAATCTTCCACCGCTTATGTTGGGTTGAATGCAACTCGAATGGACTTTGCATTTATTAGCAGCAGGTGTAAAAGCCACAAAACATGCGACAGTTGCCATAACAAGCTTTCGTTGATAGGGATGCAACTACCTGAAAAATATAATGATAATTTACTACTCCGGACGAAGTGCCTTCGCTCGAAACGTCGAAATTCTCCTTATATTTTCCAGGTAGTTGCATCCCGACCAACGAAAGATTGTTCATTGACACTACCTAGGCGATAATTATGTGACAACACAAAAGTGCCTAAGTTACTTTTAAATCGCTGAAATACTGTGAATTAAAGTACAAGAGTAAGAGCCTAAAAGTTCGGGAAACTTCCCTTATTTTTGTGTTAATTTTTTTTTTACAATTTAAGCATATCTTAAGTAATATCCGTTCTTGGCTTGCCAATTTACAAAGTGTTTACAGTTACATGATAAAATATTCATTTCTTTTTATGCCGAAGAATGCTTCCATGTCGTTTTAGTTTACTCTATCAAACATCACAGGTCAGTTTTTTGGTAGACTACAACATAGTCTGTGTGTGTAATGTGATAAGTGCTAAACACAGACGCGCTACTTTAGCGCCCTCATTTCCGCCCACGAGCGTCTGGGACGCAGGCTGGTTTGGAGGTCCAGGTACATCAAATTCGTCCTCTTTGGTAACGACTCTTATCAAGTTAGTTCAGTTTAGTAGTGACACTGAACCAATAAAGGACAGTCTTGACTGGACCAAATTATACTAAATACACAATCCCTCATGCATGCATATATACGGAATACAACATTGGCCCAACACGGAAACACCATCGACAATTCTCAAACTGTAAATGTTTCAATAAATTTTATAGTGTTTCCTTTGCATTTTATCAAATTGTCAAAACGAATAAAAAAATAAGCACCAACTTTGTTACGTATCAAGCTATATATAATATATAATTATCTACTGTCTACTGTCTACTGTCTACTGACCTGAAATTGTTTGTTGAAAAGTAAAGTAAAGTTATCTGTCGTCTCACTTGTGTGTGTGTTTTAAGTCTGATTACTGAAATTTATATATACCCTATGTCTATATATACCTCATGTCGTCATGACCTCATTAAACATCACCGAAACTTGCTATTTGTTGTGTACAGGTGTTCGTTGCCTAGTAGCTGGACGTGCAGAGAAGTGCGCAAGACAGCGACCTAACCAGGTTTTACCATGGCATTTCCAGCGTACATTTTCAAATTTCCAGGATCTACATACAGCTATTTCAATTAAGGTTGTCTCGGAGCGGGACGGAAAAGTCAAAATAAATGATTAGCGATTCCCAGCAAGCCTTTCACGCTCGTATTCGACTTTTCCGCTTTGCTCCAAACATGTCCAATACTGTCGCATTCAACCGCTCGTGAAATTCGAAAGTCGTGATTCACGAGTCGTTTTTTATAGCCATTAGTGAGACCTTCACGATATTCATACGACTCGTTAGACTCAGTGAAATTTCACACCGCAAGTACGTGACATTAATAAATTATGAATTTTCATCTCAAATATATTTTGTTCATCCCCCCTCTTCAAGACAAAAGTAACTCTTCAGTTGTATGAATTCTGAAATATATACATGTAACATAGACACGCATCGTAAGTAAAATAACCCCATCACGTTTCACGCGAATAGTATAGGGCCCTCTCATATATGACAAACCAGTTATATTTTACCAGGAATCTGAGAGAGAACTGTCTCATGCTCTGATTTTTTTCTTCATATCAACTTGCCCCGTCGGTTTTTTCAATTTCCTCGCTACATAAACGCGTACGTACAATACAGTGAGTGTAGATTATCAAGTGTGAATGAATAGTGTGGATGAAAAATGTCCTCAAGTCAAAGTCTTGTCAGTTAAAGATGCTGTAAAGTCCGTTCTGCGCATATATTCTGCGCATCAACACATTCCATCAGTGGGGGAACAACCTTTGGAATGTTGTTAATATTTCGCACCTTCCAAACTTTCTTGAATTGAATCTCTAGTCTGTATTCATTTACAAGCATAGCGAACCGGAAGAGTGTTAAAAATTCAGTATAATATATATCTAATCATATTTTACAACTGTAGCACTGAGTTCAAAATGTAAACAAAGCGTTTGTTTACATTACGGACTTTACATCACCTTTAAGTGTGATCGGAATGCTGCATTGTCTTTTTATTTCTTTTCTAAAAATCCCCTCCCCCTCCCCGCTAGCCAACAATTTTGGGAAAAAATACTAATTAGCGACTGCAATATTGTCGGCAAATGCGATACCACCCCCCTCCCCCTTCTTTAGCGTCTTCGCTGCAGCCCTGGTCATTCCCAGTGCCAGTATAACCCTTTTTAACCAACTTTATTTGCATATGTCATATAATATCCACTATGTTTGTAAATTAGTCTGTTATTTTTAAGAACAAGCTTAATATTTCCTATATATCTAATATCGAGAAGTTGTTCTTGTATTTTCACTGAATGCTTAATGGGAAAATTCCAGGCTCTGCCTCTGGTGTGTTTTATGTGATTATGTCGATCAGAAAAGACGTCTCACATTAATATGTATAGACATTCTTTTTTTGGTTTGCAAGAGTTTCTCAACTGTCAGTAATTTTAACCAGCTCAAAGTTGATGCAAGTTGTTTGAAAGTTGATATAGAGGGTGTTAAGGGGTTCGAATCACGTTTACGTGAAGTATCAGATCCAGTTTGTAGAACTGATCGCTACCATAAGAGTTTCATACCGTCTGTGGCATCATTATTAGTGATGGGCGATACCACCAGTATCAATTCGATACGATACCGATTACTTTTTCGTAAAAGTATCGAGGTATCGATTACCCAAACGATTACTACGATGACGATTGTATTTCAGAATTTTTCGCCATTATAATCCATGAAAAAACAAAAATTAGTTTATTTCCCGCCTTTTTCATAATTTATTCTGTCGACGAGTTCAGGAATATCAATCAGGGAAGTGGATAGAATGTCAAATAAAGTATAAAGGAAGTTTGATTAAATTGATAAATGCAGCAAAATACAAAAAAGTACATAAATTTTATTAGAAATAACCATGAAAACGATGACACAACTACAGGATTATAATGAATGTCTAATTTTAAAAGTAATCGAAACACTTTTTCGATACCGTGCAGTATCGACTACTTCCTGGTTGGGCCTGGCATCGGGTGGTACCGATACCAAGTAGTCGGTAATCGCCCATCACTAGTTGTCACTCACAACAACGTGTTAACAGCTGTTGAATGACAGGATCATAACAAGTAGTTGGAACAAGTAACAAGTCTGTTGAGTCAACAACTTTCGATACGTAGCGAATTGTCAATAAGCCGTTGACAACTTGTCAGCAAGGTAAGGTGAGCAGTCCCCGGTTAGTGTGAGAGGTCATGCCCCCGTTAGGGTAAGCCTGGTTAGGTGTTAGCTTTAGGATCGTCGAGAACTTATATAATTTAGTTTATATTCAAATAACTGATGTGTTTTAGAAAAGTACGCCTGTATAGATAATATAAATCGTGCATTCATGGTGACGTATGACGAAAGAAGAGAGTATTTTTTGTAGTTTGTCGACAAGACGACAGCTTTTTGAGGTAACCACCCCTTGAAAATATCACATAA